ATATATATATATATATATATTTGTCTACAGATGTTTGTTTTCAGAAACCAGATGGCAGTTCCTTCTAAGCATAACATCTGCAATCCAGTCAACATTAACCAACTAGCTTAATTATTTCAAAAGGTTTAGCTCATGAAATTGGATTTACTGCAGTCCACAGTGCAATACCATCTCACTTTATTTTTTAGTTTAAAGTAGTAAGAAATGTGTAACTGAAAAAAAATAAAATAAAATTGCACATTTCCCAAAAATGAGACGACAGAATGACTGAGAGCTGAAGTGACATAAACAATAAAAAAAAACGGAGTGGAGAGTTACAGTGTAGTGATGCACATGGCCTCCCTCCAGGTGCAGCAGCCACTTGGACAGGTTTCAGTGATTTCAATTACAGGGCTGGAGCATTGTCAGTTACAGAAGAGGCTTTTTTCTCCTCTGAATTTTCTTCCTTCTTAAAGTCAACAACTTTAAAAGTCTTTTCTTTTCAAGTAAATGGCTGGCAATTCATGGGAGACTGTACAAAAACTTTCAACTGGGTTGTGAGCAAAGGATGGATGAATGGTCACTTCAGTAAGAAAATTAATAAAAAATATATTATTGTAATGTCTGCATTTGTTTTATTAATAAATAAACATTTGAATCTTCTTCAGTTACACAACGGATCATTTCTCAAGGTGTATTCTCACCAGGAATGTCTTTTGGTTCACTTGTTTGGTTTAGACTGAAAGCAGAATTATTATTATTATTATTATTATTATTATTATTATTATTATTATTAGTTTATTTATTTATTTTTGTGCAGTTTGCGTTCACATTGTGCTTTTTTGCAAGCAGACTACAATTTAGAAACAAGGCCACACGGTTAACAATCATTGCTCCCATTGGACAGAAATAATGGTGGCAGGACAGAGCACAGACTTGTAAAGAATATGGTGCTGTTAATACAACTGCCACACCATTTAGAATTTTTCTCAATGATATGCGTATAATTTTGTGATGGCGTTGTCATATGCGTGCCGCACCCCAAGGGAGACGAGATGCTCTGTGTGCCCTGACCCACAATAACTCATTGTTTGTAGCGCGGTGGTAGCATTAGCAACACTGAACGATTTTCCCATGTTGCTTATCAATGGTGGCTTGTGAAGTCCAAAAAGGTGAATGTTTCCTGTAGTTGGTTTGGTTCGGGGCCAGATTGTAAGTGAACGGCAACAGAGGTTGTTTGGAAGCAGACTGAGACCACCTCAAAAGCTGGTCTAGGTCCAGTTGTTTGATCCCCACTAGGGTTTGCATGAGTGTATTCACACCTGCATAAAATATCCAAACCAGTGGGGGAAATTAACTCTGGTTTGTTTAAAGTGGACCAAATGTGTCAGGTGTGACTACACCCTTAATGTTTCAGTATGGTTTCTCGGCAGCCGACCGGATGACGCGTGGTCACATGGATGTGTAGAGGACATGACCATTTCCCCTCACCTCGTCTTGCCACTGATTGATCTTTCACCACCTGAGTTTCGCACACACCTTCCATAGCCTGAGACACACCAGTGCCGAGCTCCTGGGAAGCCCCTCCCACTGTGGTATATGTCACTGCATGGGGTTTCTTTCCGCTGGAGTCTACAATGCGGAAAAAAAATCCGAGACCTGTCACCCGATGTAATATGTCCGCAAATCTGTCGCTGTTAAAGCTCCACAGTTTTTGTCAGACAGATTCCACTGTGCACAACATTTGTTTAATCTCCATCCATGTGTTTTTGGCTTCATAAATCTGCTTCTGCATAGCTTACAACAATCGACTTCTGGAAGCGAGTCGTTTTTTAAAAAAAATTTTTAAACAAATGGTTGAAGAAAAATGCAGCGTCCAAGCACTTTCAGCATAAACAAACACTCCCACGAATTTCTGACCAATCACACAACAAGTTATGTAGAGTGGGGTAAAAAATTGTTTGGCCTGCGGGTTGTGACAAGAAGGTGCTGAAATGTCGACAATGCGAACAGAATGACGCAATTAGCATCAAGAAGCTGTGACAATCCGATACGATTTCGGCAGTTCGGATGCAGCATGCTGCGCGCTTCAGATGTTCCTAAACACAAACTGAAATACAGAGGTGATTGGGCTTTTGCAGTTGCTGATCCAAAACTGTGGAATAGTTTACTTGATCATTAAAAGACCACTGAGACTGTTGAGACATTTAAATCTTTGCCATCTTTTTTCCCTGGTGTTTGATTCAGGCAGAATTTGAGAACGAATTAGAGGCGAAGGA